ATTAAATTCTTTTAAGGTTGCTGATATTTGGACCAAACCGCGTAAATAATTAAAACTCCGCAAATAAACTTAATTACCAATAAAACCATTGAATATACATTTGCATAATTAGCAAATAAATATATATATATATATGCAGAAAGGTTTGTAATATTTTAACTGCTCCATAGGAGCCCTAAAAATGAAATTCTTCCCCTTTAAAAACGTTAGATTGTAATTTTAAGTGGCATTTTTAGTTAGAATTGCGACAATATCATCGAATACATGCATGACATATTTCGACCATTTTCTTACTTGTTTCTACTGTAAATAAGACGCACGCTGTTTTTTTGCAATTCCAGGAAATTTTTGAGGATTTTTCCGAGTCGATTATGGAAAGGTACACTTTGTATTTCTTCGACAATACCTTTTAGTCTGCCCCTGTCGAAATACTGGCGACAATTATCGACATCAGTAAAGAACACCATTTTTTTGTATTTTCCTGCTAAGTCATTTTTATGGTTCAGTTAACCGAAAACAATGAACTAATTATATGTTTATACTTTTTACATAGATATGGTTTCAAACCATAGGAGCAAGTATGTGTAAACTGTAAAATAAAAATAGAAAAATTGCTTCTATATTTCTATAAGTTTACACAGTTGGTGTTTACCGCAGAAATAAAATATTGACGATTACTGATCATATAGTGTAAACAACATCCACTAAACAAATAGATGTGTTTGAAATAAACTAAATATTAATAAATTTTAATTTAACGTGACTGTTAGTGTAATTTCATGTGACCCTCCATGCACACTGCTCAGATGGCAATACCCGGTTCACAACAGTACCTTTGCAACATTTATCTGATCAATAATGAGGAAGATAGTGATGTTTTTTCTAGGTTTAAAAATGCTTTATTATGAAATCCTATAAATTATAATTTAACGTGACTGTTAGTGTAATTTCATGTACAACAGTACCTTTGCAACATTTATCTGATCAATAATGAGGAAGATAGTGATGTTTTTTCTAGGTTTAAAAATGCTTTATTATGAAGTCCTATACGTCTTAATGCAACAGAGATGCGAATGTCACCTTTGTAGAGAAACCATAAAGATAAAGTTTCCGAAATCATAATTAAACATTATAATACCAAATTTATACTTAATCAGGTAAAACATAGAAAACTCATTTTCTTGATTAGATAAAGCTTTCAGAGTATAAACTATTTTGCATTAGATCAGGCATTTTATAAATGTGAAGTCACTTTAATGATTAATAACTGTACAACAAGAATAAGATGAGAGAGGTTGCGTGAATCCAATAAAATAGTAATGTATAAGAATTTTAATTTAAGAATTTTAAACACACTTGATTAGAATTTCTGTAGATCAAAACATAGAATATAGTTTATGGTCAAAACCCTTTAGATTAGATTCTCGGTAGATCAAAACTCTTTTAGATTTCTGGAGATCAAACTATTTTGTATCAGATTCCTTCTATAGATCAAACCCCTTTGCAGAATAAACTTTCTGGAAATTGAAACCCTTTAAATAAGATTCTCTGGAGATCGAAACATTTTAGATTCGACTTTGTGTAGATCAAACCCCTTTAGATTAGATTCTCTGTAGATCAAACCCCTTTAGATTAGATTCTCTGTAAATCAAACCCCTTTAGATTAGATTCTCTGTAGATAAAAACCCTTTAGATTAGATTCTCTGTAGATCAAAACCCTTTAGATTAGATTCTCTGTAGATCAAACCCCTTTAGATTAGATTCTCTGTAGATCAAAACCCTTTAGATTAAACTTTCTGTAGATCATAACCCGTTAGATTAGACTTTCTGTAGATAAAACCCCTTTAGATTAGACTTTCTTTAGATCAAACCCCTTTGAATTAGACTTTCTGTAGATCAAATCCCTCTAGATTAGACTTTCTGTAGATCAAAACCCTTTATTATATAAGTTTCTCTGTAGATCAAACCCCTTTAGATTAGACTTTCTGAAGATCAGAACCCTTCAGATTAGATCCTCTGTAAACTATTTAGATTAAACTTTCTGTAAATCAAAACCCTTCATATTAATTTCTCTGTAGATCAAAACCCCTTTTATTAAACTTTCTGTTGATCAAAACCCTTTCGATTAGATCGTCTGTTAAGATCAAAACCCGTAAGTTTGTTAACGATCATTACCGACGCACTTTTGGTAACGATTGTTAACGACGTACTTTCGATAACGATCGATAACGACGTACTTTTGGTAATGATCATTAACGACGTACTTTAGGTAACGATCGTTAACAGCGTATTTTTGGTAATGATCGTTAACAACGTACTTTCGGTAACGATCTTTAACGACATACTTTCTGTAAAGATCGTTAACGATGTACTTTCGGTAACGATCATTGACGACGTACTTTCGGTAACGATCTTTAACGACATGCTTTCGGTAACGATCACTAACGACGTACTTTTGGAAGCGATCATTAATGACGTACTTTCAGTAACGATTGTTAACGACGTACTTTTTTAACGATATAATAAAATTTATGGTCGAAAAACCCTTTGATCAGAAAAACTCTTAGATCAGAAAAACTCTTGAATCAGAAAGCTTTAATCAGAAAAACTCTTAGATCAGAGAAATCGTAGATTAGAAAAACTTTTAGATCAGAAAAAACCCTTAGGTCAGAAAAACTCTTAGATCAGAAAATCTTAGATTAGAAAAACTCGTAGATAAGAAAAACCTTAGTCCGTGTCCTCAAGAGTGAATTAGCAGTAACAACCATAAAAAAAACATTGTTAAACTGACATCCATAAACCTCTTTATTGCAGAAGTTTGTTCTAAAAAATCAAATCAATGTAAAAAAATCCTTTGGATTTGAATTCCATGAATCAAAGGCAAATGTAACAAATAATAATATTCATATTATATTTATAATGTGTTATGTGCTTGTTAATGTATAAAACCTTTTAGCGCACCATCTATATTTGAATATATATATATATGTAAATCTACAAACATGAGAACATTTACACAATGATTAATTTATTAATGAAAAATATTATGCAGCAAGAAATACATTGAGCGATAGATTTGTGCGTAGAGTCTTGCACAGTTTGGGAAACTGTGAATAATCAGTTACATTTATATTAAACACTTTTTCTAAAATTATATGTAAAAATAAGTGAGTTAGAGCGATAAAATCAAGACCTAAGGCGTTGCGACACTTTAAACTTTAAAGGGAGTGTTCGCGAGAAATGAAAGGGGGTGGCTTGCGGCAAAAAATAAGCGCTTTTTATCGCTACAAATCTTACCTCTATCTGTTGCGTCTAATTGTTAAAAACGACTCATGCTAATAAACGTAGCGTCCATACAAATTCAGAAAGTAAAATAATCAATTTAATTCCAAACAAATCATTCAGATATTACACGGCATTCGTATATAGTTGATATTTCATAATCATTTTTATTTTTTATTCTTTGAATAATAGTTTGCTGGCGCTGGATTTTCTAACATTTCTGGAAAATATTAAAATGTCGTCTTCATTATCAAAAATCCTCGAAAGAGGAATAAATGTTTTCAAAAGTAACTGTCAGATCATAAAAAAATAAAAAATATTATGATATATCAACTATATATGAATGCGTCGAAAAATTATCGATGATTCTTGGTTGTAATATCTGAATGATTTTATATGGACGCTACGTTCTTCAAACAATTTTCTCCTTATAGACGCAACAGATAGAAGTAAGATTAGAAGCAATCAAAAGCACTTATTTTTCGCCGTAAGCCTATACCCTCTTTCATCTTTTGCAAACACTTCCTTTAAAGTCGGCCCCGTCTTAAAAATTGATGAAACTTTTTACAAGAAGACTGAATCTATGTAGAACAAAGACGATATGAAAGTCGTTATTTAATTCCGATGTTTATTAGAACACTTGCTGTAGGATTTTTCAGTGGTTCATAATTTTTTTTCTCTTTTGAAAAATAACAATTTAGAATATTTATTAAATCAGAAATCATATAATAAATATAGATAATTATACTTTATAACTGGATTTATTGCTATTAGTTCCCAGGCTTGTATACAGATAGTAATTATATTAATTAGAGACAATAATCACATAATTAGGTCATTAAATACTTCAATTGTTTTTGGCTTAATTTATGTAAGAAATAGACTGATGATTCAAAAAGTCTCATGGTATCTAATAATGTTAATATTTTTTGCAAAAATTGCAAAAAAACGTTTAAGACGTTAAATCTAAACAGAATCTTGATCACTATCATTTTTATGAATTTCTTGATGCAACAAAATGAAATTTCCTACAAACGTATTTTTCACAGATCTAATATTTGCTTTATTTGTCCGTTTTCCTACTAAAGCAATTCGTAGATATGTAATAAGTTGAAGGGACTGTGAACCTCTAGTTATAGCTATATTCGATTCACAATGGCACTCTTTAACCTTTGTTTGATCAAGAATAAATTAAATATCTTAGATCTTCTGGCTAACAATTGGTTATTTTCAATCGGGGTTTCTCTGAAGAAATTGTTAAATTAAATTAAATTGTAGAATAGAAAAACAGATTGTTTAATCAGACATGCCTTTCTTCACAGAAAGGGTCACTTAAAATAATTAAGACAGTCTCTTTAAAGATAAAAATGAAAAATAAGAAATGTACAGTTGTTTAGTTCAAAAATAAGAAATGTACAGTTGTTTAGTTCAAAAATAAGAAATGTACAGTTGTTTAGTTCAAAAATAAGAAATGTACAGTTGTTTAGTTCAAAAATAAGAAATGTACAGTTGTTTAGTTCAAAAATAAGAAATGTACAGTTGTTTAGTTCAAAAATAAGAAATGTACAGTTGTTTAGTTCAAAAATAAGAAATGTACAGTTGTTTAGTTCAAAAATAANCTCCCCCCATTATCATTTCTTTTCCGTGACTGTCTCCTTCTCTATACCCCCTTCCCAAATTATTATCCATTTCGCATTATATAAAATAAAGTGGAACAATTAAGCTGTCAATTTATTTTATATAAATAAGAAAAATATTTGCCCAGATCATTTCCTGCAGATAGATTCGATTCGGTCCATTTCTTATATTTCTTATTAATCACTTAATATCCTATCACTTCCTTTTGCGTCAAACTGCTGGAAAAATGCGTATTTTATCATCCTGAGTCTTAAAGGGATTGTAGACATAATTTCAAGTGGATCTTCAGTTATGATACGGTGATAAGCGGTTATATCAATACAATGAAGACGACTTTTTATGTAGGTTTTGATTGTTAACAAGCTTTTTTCTAATTACAAGTTTATAAGTAATCAAAGAGAAGCATTTTTAATTGACAGCTTCTCTTGACTTTTATGTTTATGTGTGTCCATGCAGTCTGAAAGCTTAATTCAAATCCAAATTGAAATGGAAAGTCGTCTTCACTGTATTGATTTAATCGCCTACCAGCGTATGTAAAGTGGCATGTCCGATATATCCTTAAAAGTTCAGTTTAACAAAGAATTAATGACTTTTTAATGTTTTTTTCTCAGAACAGTGATTATTTTAATTGTAAGTTCTCTCTAACAACGATCTAAGCTTCAACAATAAAGGAGAACATTGCAGTAATTAAACATTGATAAAGCTAGAACAAAACGACGATATCATCAACATTTTGATCAGATAAAGGTTTAGGGAGTACCGTTGTGAATCAGGCATGAAATTTCAACGACAGTCCTTTTGAATTTATGTTTAGAGAGTGTTCTTAAAAAACTAAATTTTGTTGATACAATTGAAATCTCAATTTCTCAAAATACCTGTTTTTTTTGGCTTCGTTTTTTGGCTCAAATATTTGGTTAAGGTGTCAACATTAGATTATTGAGTTTAATACTTGACAATTCGGCCTTTGATTCAATTCTGTTTTTGTTCCAAAAATTTTTTTCATTTTCTCTTTTAGCAGCCATTAAACTTTCTTCCAAAACTTTGATTTCTTTGGCCGCTTCCATTGCAATTTCTTTTAAAGTGTCGATTTCTATTTCTTTTAACGCTTGAATTTCCTTTGCAGTCATATATCCTTTTGCAATCTCTGCCTCAATTTCGTGAATTGCTTCAATTTTTACATCAGTGTCATCTTCAGTTTTAATTTCTCTAGCAATTTCATCCAATGCTTCATTAAGAATAATGTTATCTCCTGAAGTTTCTGACATATATTCTCCTTCAGCATTAGAGGGATCTTTCTCTATCCCTGTATTCTCAGAGTCTGCTTGAATACCATACACTATTTCAAGATCTGTATCTTTCTTAGAATCTTCTTTTTCGTATTTTTCGTCTTTAGGAAAATTATCTTTTGAAGCTCGGAGAAATCTTTCAATGTCTTCCTTATCCTCCTAAACAATATAGATTTTAATAGCACATTATAGGAACTAGAACTGCAACTTCAGGTGACTCTTACTGTTCAAAATACAACGGTACCCTTTAAACCTTCTTATGATCAATGATTATGTAGATATTACTATTTTTAGTAACCCCCCTTGACAAATTCCTGACAACGTCCCTGGTTATACAATGTAAACTGTGACCTCGAATCTCTCGGAACTCAATTTTTTGCTAGAAAAATAAGGATACTTACACGTTATCCTTGATCGGAAAAAGGTTCAAAGGGTACCGGAGGGAATCAAACATACCACTCAAAAAATGGTTGGTAAGTAAAATATAAAATCATGCTAACCTTTCTAACAGGAATTTTATTATCACGTTGTTTGCTCCAAACAAAGTGGAACAGATTTCCTAAACATTTTAATAATTAGTATATACCATAGATAAAGATAGATTGAAAATAATTATAAATTAATAATTGATTTTTAATTGAGTTCGTATTCTTGATATTTAATTGATTGTAATGATCGGTTTTATCAAATAACAGTTAGATTTCAATTTTAAATAAAGTGGTATATTGCGGATTTTAATCTTTTGCGGATATTTTTGCTTCAGGCTGCAGGAGGTGCAAATTATTGCAATATTTGATATCTTTTTAATTTGCTCGAAATAGTTTTTGTAATCAATCGTAATATTAATATTTTGCATTTCCTTCCTTAATAAACATCGCCCCCCCCCCTTTACACTCCTCCCTCCCCCATGCACCTTGTACTGTAATAATCGTATATAGAACTAGTTGAAGCTTGGCGGTGCCCACGTGGAATTTTTAAAAAAATTGATGAAAAAATGTTAAATCTATGTACAAAAAGATTCTTTTTAGGCTAGTTAATTTTGAAGTACAGTATCATAACCCGAGGCCCCAATACTCGGAAAAAAATTAGGATATCTATGTACAAAGGATTGTTTCTATGTTTAGTTTGGAGTATCTGGCAAAATGGCCCCAATGAAGGTATATAATTGTTATGTTGGAAACCCACCAGGAAATGTGGAAACTATGGCTACAAAAGAATTTTAGTTTAAAGGCAAACCTTTAAAGAAGAAAAATTTCGTAATTGCACGCAACTAAAAATCTTAAATTGACTGATGTGTGGTGTGAAAAAGACTTAGTTAAAGCGTCCTAAATTTCTAATTCATTATTACAAAATATTGATCCCTGATGTTTTGCCTTTAATCCCCGGATTACCAGATCAAATGTTAATCTGGGGATAAACGGAGAAATCTTGAAACAGAATTTATCTAGCTTTACTATTTAAAATCTGCAGTTCATGACGTCGTCAGTTGGTTCTCCATACCCCTGGCAGCTTGATTTAAAGAGACTATTGACGTATTTTCAATTGTGACCCTCCAGTCGTAGAATCCGCTTCACGACAGTAATATTTAAATAGACTAATTCAAGGAGGATGAATGCATCCGTATATCTCTACAGAAATTTGAATTCCATTTTGAGTAATTTGATCACTATTTTAGAGATAAACACATTGAGTACTCGGTCTTCGATGATCAGTTAAAGGTTTGAAGGGTATCATTGTGAATTGGGCATTCCCCTCTTAGCATAGATGCCAGAGGGTCATTTAGAATTACGCGTACACTAGTATATGTTAGTAAATAAGCGTGGTAAGTAGGAAGGGTTGAGTTTGGTGTGGATAGAGTGGGATAAAGTTTAATATTGCTCACATTACTAAATATAATTAAATATAACAAGTAAAGATAAAACTAAAGTGAATACAACTTTCAATGATCTATAGTTTGATAAAACTTAATTCACATGTTCTACTCATGTAGTTTCATATCTCGATATACTTTGCTTGTATTTCTGTCCGTTTGTGTCCGATAAACGTTAAAACAATTAAACCTAAAATTTTTGAAGCAACTCCATGACCCCAGGGAAGGTTTATAGTTACTCAAAATTACAATAAATTATCTAACAAAATTTTGCAAATCCTCAAAAAAATATCATAAAATCCGCGAACTTTATTGTTATTGTTTTATTATTGTATCTAGGTTAAAATATAACAAAGAGAAGATGCTTACAGATAGAGCCACAATTATAGATTGAAAAAGAAGCCTAGTTAATTATATTCAATTAAAGGGAATGTATGCGTAAAAACGGTGAGTCTCTCAGTACGAAATTTTAAAGGTGCCGTCTTCATTCAACGTCTAATGAACGGCTTTTAATTATATAAATTCTATTCTTACCCAGATCTAGAATTGCTGAGAATCCATTGTCAAGTTCTCCGTCCAGTTCATTTTCAGACCCGGAGTTAGAGTAGAATTTAGGTAACCCTTCCAGAGATATATAATCAATATCAGGTTCCATTCGTCCGTCAATATCAGGTTCCATCCGTCCTTCAAAATCAGATTTCATCCGTCCTTCAATATCAGATTCCATTCGTCCTTCAATATCAGGCTCCATTCGTCCTTTAATATCAGATTCAATCCTTCCTTTAATATCAGATTCCATTCGTCCTTCCATCTCTGGTTCCATTCGTCCTTCCGTCTCAGGTTCAATTCGTCCTTTAATATCAGGTTCCACCCTCCCTCTACTACTGGGGAACCTGGATCCAGTTTCCTGAACTAGTCCGAAGGTTGGAGCCGGAGTTACAAATACAGTATTGAGAGAAGGGAGACCTAGAAAGGATTTAAGATTATAATCATCCTTCCTTCTTCGTCTCTCCTCCTCTGCTGATACTTCAATCCTCTGCGCACCAGAGTATTCACCTGGAAACAGGGTGTTCATCAAGTAATTTAAAATCTAATGTGGAATTCTTGAAATTCATTCGTCCTTCCATCTCTGGTTCCATTCGTCCTTCCGTCTCAGGTTCAATTCGTCCTTTAATATCAGGTTCCACCCTCCCTCTACTACTGGGGAACCTGGATCCAGTTTCCTGAACTAGTCCGAAGGTTGGAGCCGGAGTTACAAATACAGTATTGAGAGAGGAGAGACCTAGTAAGGATTTAAGATTATAATCATCCTTCCTTCTTCTTCTCTCCTCCTCTGCTGACACTTCAATCCTCCGCACACTAGAGTATTCACCTGGAAACAGGGTGTTCATCAAGTAATTTAAAATCTAATGTGGAATTCTTGAAATAAGAGATAACGAAAATGATATTGACATTAATCTTTGCAAAAATGATGTTGACATTATACTTTGCAAAAATGATGTTGACATTAATCTTTGCAAAAATGATGTTAACATCAATCTTTGCAAAATGCTGTTGATCTTAATCTTTTCAAAAATGATGTTGACATTAATCTTTGCAAAATTGATGTTAACATTAATCTTTTCAAAAATGATGTTGACTTTAATCTTTACAAAAATGATGTTGACATTAATCTTTACAAAAATAATGTTGATATTATTCTTTGCAAAAATTTTGTTGACATTAATCTTTGCAAAAATGATGTTAACATTAATCTTTGCAAAAATGATGTTGACTTTAATCTTTGCAAAAATGATGTTGACATAAATCTTTGCAAAAATGATGTTAACATTAATCTTTGCAAAAATGATGTTGACATTAATCTTTGCAAAAAAAACCCATATGTTAAGAAACTGTGGACGTAATTTCATAAATGCATAATATTTTTATCACATTCTTTTTGAACGTTGATTATTTTAAATTGTGGGTTCTCTAAAGTGGCCGAATTTAAAGAATTTGAGCCGTGACTTAAATTTGAGAGGCGGCTCAAATATGATTGGTTTCACTTAAAATTGTATTCAATGTTTCAAGACTTAAGCCGGCGCTCAATTCCGGTTTTTGACGGATTTAAGACGCGGCTCAATTTCATTAAATTCGTACTCTGAGCATTTAATTCTGCTTTAGGATTAATATTTGAATAAATTGTCAAAATGAACCAGTTTTCAAGCTAGAAACACGACGATATCCTCCACATTACTAAGTTAAGTAAAGGTTCCAAGTTACTGCTGTGAATCGGATAAACCCCTCTTTAAAATTTCAACAACTGTCCCTTTAATTAAGATGAATTATCTCTCTCTTAAATCAAAATAGTAAAGTCATTTATGTTAGCATTATGTTTTGTAATGATACGTGAAAAGATCTAGATTAAAAATAAGAATTGTTGATTTTATCTATTGTAATATAAAACTAATTATTATGCTTGTTTCCTCATTCTCAGAGGGTTGGGTTTAGATTAGGCGTAATTGAGTAATGAGGATTAATAAAGCACTAGCGTTGCCCGGGGGGTTTTCAAAAATATTTTTTTACAAATACTATTATTATGGTTTGGCGGGCTATTTGTAGATTGGAAGCACAGCTAATTTAAATATTTTTGGTTAGAACTTCTTTTATCTAACATAAAAAAGAGTTCAGTCTAAATGAGAGTGAGAAAATTTTGCCATTTGCTAATTTTTGAAAATATTTTTAACATAGTAATAAAAAGTTACCAATTTAAAGAAAGGAAAAACATTGATGTCTCAGTCATTAATGTTAGATAATGGTTTTATAGCTTTACAAGTTTTGGTGTTCCTAAATCTACGTAAAGTTTGTAAGGAGACGAGGGGGGGATGGCCTCCCGCGCAACCCAAGATGTATTAACCATTCAAAAATTCTCGAGCTTACAATAATTGTTTAGACGTCAAAGTTAAGGCTTGGTACCAGTGTGAATCATTGAGAGCACACTTTAAGTTAACAATAACAATTGCTCACCTCTGGTTGGAACACTAACCGCCTGGTAATAAGGTTGAAGAAAGGGAAGTGATTTAACAATCGTTCTCTAAAATATTAAAGTTAAGAACATATAATTTTAATTTTTACAATTTGAAATTTTGTTACAAATCTCATTATTTATTTATTTTACATCGTTCAGACTTACACCTACTATAAGAGTCAAAGTTTTTAATACTTTTATAAAAGCAAATAAATTGTAGAGAATTCAATTTTTAATAAAAATGACTTGTTGTCAGGTTTTTGTTTCATCTAGAAGCTAGAAAACCTTGAATACTAAAAATGTATGAAACAGAATGCCCTACTAATATTTCATACATATGAATATCATAAATCAAATTCAAAATGGCTGACATGGATTCTCTTCTAAAGGTAAAATTGAACCCTGGAGATTTAAACTAGTTATGGAGAGACAGCTGAACCGTTGAAAGGTGATATTTCCTGTTGCAGGGTTTCACGATATAAACATCCATACAAATTATCCACACAACTAGAACATTACACAAACTTTGTCCGACAAACCACACATGCAAACAGTAAAATACAAAAAACATGTGAAAAAGGAAGACAACATTTAAGCAATCTTAAGTGTATTTGATGTCGTAATACGAACTATAAAGTTGTAATGTACAGTGCAAACCAGACAACTCTGGAATATGAAGTAGATTTTTAGACTTAAGTTATGACTTTAAATAGTCCAAGTCTGCAGTGTAAACAGACTCATTTTACTTAATAAGTGATTTAATGACTTAATATAAAGCTATTTGCTTGGTAGCAACATCGAATGCGCTTCAGTATTTCTATAATGTCGTCTTCCTCTTCTGCAGTTTTCTGGTTATTAGTTTGAAAATCAANAAAAGGGCAATTAGAGCAGTAAATAATAGTTCATTTAAGGCACACTCAGATCCAATATTTTTCAGATTAGAACTCCTAAATTTTGATGATACATATAAACTAGGTGTGGGACAACCAATTAAAACAACCTACTCTGGTTAGGCGGGTCCAAACTACATAGTAAATTGTGATTTTTTTATTTGTATTATCTCGTGCTGTGTAGTTGAATAAAAATATGAATATGAAATTGTTTCAGATCTCTCGATTCTCATCGGTCAATAAATAAGTGAGTTGACAGGGCTTGAATATATTTATATAAGTTGAGTCTAACAGTCGTCTTCCTATTCCACTGCACATTGTTATGGGTCCTACTGTAGTTGTTTATGCAACACAAATCAAATGTCTTTAATTACTGTAATCTAAAGAATGTACAATGTACAACTAAGGAACAGAAAACTAGGTAAACCACAAAGGAAGAAATTTTAGAGACGAATGTAAAATAATTTATTCAGTCTATTCCATATTATCTTTACTCATTGCAACATACACTCTTGTTTCTATCATTTACAGATAATTTACTTTATCATTTAAACAGATTAATGATTTATTTAATGTTCAAATCTTCACATGTTTACGCTTTAAGTAAATATTTTTGGTAATTGATTTATACTTTTTTGAAATTCTGCTCATATTTTCAAATATTTTACATCCGGTATCTTCCTTCGTCGTCGTCGTCTCGTCAATACAACCGGAACAAACTAGATATTAAAGGGATTGTTAATTTTTTTGAAAATATATAATTACCATTTTTGATGTAACTTTAAGAGAAATAAAATAATCAAAAATGTTTTTTTTTAATTGACTTAACCCCCATGGTTTATTCTTTATAACTTAAAGAGGGCTTACACTACATAGAACCCTCAAAGTTCTTCACTTTTTCAAATTCATAATTGTGAAAAAATTTAGCAAAGAAAAATGTTTGTTTTTTGATGCACAGGGTGTAATCGAGAGAGTGGTCAAACGGTGTTCTAAAAAATGGATGTTATAACATGCGTCACATTTTAATATTTGTCAAAAGTAAAAATCAACATTTTACCGACGTAATTTTTAGAACTTTTGAAAAACCCTCCCTTGCTGAGGTGATAAAAAGCTCTGCTCATTCCAGAAGTTGTGTTATTATGAAGTTTATTTTCATAACTGTGAGCTGAAATCCATGCTCCAATTGGTAAGAAACCGTCTATAGGTTTTTGTTAAAAAAAATGTCATCCTAAAGTTTAATGTTAAAAACTACTCTGAACACACTTTGTTCTGCTACTTCTTTTGATGAATAATTTATCTAAAAATGGTCCTAAAACCAACCTGTTGTTGGGTTTCTCCGGGTCCTAGTATATGCTGGTAGGAGAATATTGGTTTCTGAGGACTACCAAAACTAAGGCAAGCGTAACTCCCACTTGTTGGAAACCTACACAAGTCCTCATGTCCTCCAGGCCGACCTCGAGATCCTGGTCCTAGGGGAGTAAGATTATTGGAGGTCAAGGGAAGTATGGAGGTAAGAGAGGGAGTAGGGAGTAACGAAAGAGGAGCAGATTTCAAGGAAGGAAAAATAGGAACGGATTGAGGAGAAAGACTGAATGATGGAGGTGTAGGACTGAATGATGGAGGTGTAGGACTGAGTGATGGAGGTGTAGGACTAAAGGATAGAGGTGTAGGACTAAAGGATGAAGGTGTAGGACTAAAGGATTGAGGTGTAGGACTGAATGATGAAGGTGTTGGACTAAAGGATTGAGGTGTAGGACTGAAGGATGGAGGGGTAGGACTAAACTGTGCGGAAGTAGGATTAAATTCAGTAGGTGTAGGACCAAATGAAGGATGTGTAGGACCAAATGAAGGATGTGTAGGACCAACTGGAGAATGTGTAGGACCGAATTGATGAGGTGCTGGTGTAGGTGTTCCGGAAAGAGTATTCGGAGAGGGCCTTCGTGGAAATGGGTTTAAAGGCAAAGGTGTTGGAGTAAATGATCCTGGTTGAGAGGATACAAGCTGTTGTGCCAGGGTTGGAGCAAACTGATGATGAGCTAGTGAAGGGTTAGGAATAATAGGCTGAGCATGACTGTGAACAAGTGGAGCAGGAGAATGAGCACTGTGGGAAGAATGAGGAAGATGAGGGATGGGAACTTCATGATGAGGATCTATATGTAGGCTGTGAGGATGATGAATATTTGGTTGCTGAAGAGCAGGAGGAGGATGGGGATGAAGTTGGAGAGGAGCAGGGGGAGGATAGGGTTGGACCTGATGAGGGGGAGGGGGAGGAGAGAATGGAGATGATGGAGCTGGAGAAGAATAAGGTAATTCTGGAGCATCATAGAGTTTTAATTTAATATTGATGAATATTAAAATTGAATTCGATATAGATGAATTTTCAAAATTTAAGTGAACGTGGATTAAATTTAATATATTCATGATTTCAAACTAAATTAGTTATGGATTAATTTTTATACGTCGAATTCCTCCTGGATGAATATCTAAAAATAAATTTAACATGGATGAATTTTTAAAATTGATTTTGATCTGGATGAATATGACATTGTCATCTTTGCATGAAGGGTCATTTAAAATTAAGGATACAGTCCCTTTAAGATAAATTGACGAAATCTTGTTTGATCATGGTAAAATGGATGAATTGCATATAAATCAAAAGAACGGATTACTCACCTCGATTCTAATTTTGCATTTATAATGGAAATAAATTGAGATTTTGTCACAGACATAAACTGTCTATCCCTATATCTTTGAAACCTAATGGCGTAAACCTTTGATATTTTAAATTGCAATTATTTGATTTCACAAGAATTTTACAGTATTGGGCTTCAGAGAAAAATGGATTAGAAGTACAAGAGTTTGAGACAAAGACTTAATTCATCTCCAGATGGATAAATACCTGAAGTGACCGTACTCCCATTCTTCTATTGGTCTACAGTACCCGTACTCTGAGCAGCACGGTGCAAAGCCCGGGCACCCGTACTTCCACTGTACATCATAGGATCTGAAGGGGTAAGCTGCACAGCTTCCCTCTCCTGTACCCGCCCCAAGATATCCACAGTTACCCCCACCAATCAGAATAATTAAATATATAAATACAAACATGGTTTACTGCATTATATTATCTGAAATCAAAAATTGTAAAAAAAGGGAAAAATAGGTTTATGATAGAAGACAATTCTTGACATTAAGTGATAACCAATAAACAACATATTGATTGTCGTCCTTGCGATGTCTTTAAATTTTAGTGTACTTCATAACTTTTTTTATAGATAAATGGCATCAAAATGTTCAGATATCGGAAATTTTGTGTTGAGTATTGTTCATCCATGGAATGCTTAATCTCGATGTCCAAGTGGACACATTTAAACTTGATCATAAATGTTATTGAAGTTATCTGTACAGGGTATGGCCATAACGTAATATCGAAGAGGAACTTTTAATTTATCTGTAGGTCTGTATAAAATAGATGTCAATGAAATTAAAATCAATGCTTTATCCTGTTAGATTAACAACTCAAAATATTTTACTTCAGGAGACATTTCACAGAAATAACAGGTTTTAGCGGAATTTATGATAAAAGATTATTGAAGTTCGTCTCGTTTTTTATTTTCTCATTACTATGAATGTACATACTTTTATCAATTATTTTTTTATAAACATTCAAAGTTTTGTAATTTAATCTTTTTTGCAAAGTTTGCCCACTATAAAGTGAAATGGTAAACATTGGCAGAGAAAACAGATTTGGAGGAATAATGTTTCTTGATTATTATAATTTTAGTTTTTAACACGAATCTTTCATCTTTGAAATAATTGCAGCATTCATTCGTCCAACTAATTTTACAAGTAAAACTATCTAAATAAATAACATGAAGAATTTTGTTAGATTTTAGCTATTTGGTTTCATTTATTAAATCAAAATCTGAACGAAATTTTATATTGTCCAGTAATTTGAGAAGTCTAAAAGACAGAACACATTGTGGAACTCCCATGATTAAGGATATTTTGTGATTTTTGTATCAAGAATCATAATTGCAAAAGTAGGGGGAAGAACGAATGCCCCAACTTCAGATCAAAGGCGATCTTCAATTTTTCTGTCAATAATCATGATTCTTTGGACGTGTATATGTGAATTTATCAGATATTATTTACTTAGAACATTAAATGGGGGGGGGG